CCTGCACTGGGGAGCCCCTTCAAAGCCTCTGCGGTGGGGCTGGGTGGGGGGCACCCAGCTGCCACGGCCAGAAGCTGCCCGAGCTGTTGCAGCCCCTTCCCCGGCGCAGCCCCCTGCACTGCTGCAGCCCCCTGCACTGCTGCAGTCCCGTCCCAGAGCAGCTGGGTGGGTTGTTCCCTGCCTAGCACACCTGCGAGTTGTACAGAAATCTCGTTTTCAGTCTTAAAGGCCTGATAGAAATAAAATATATTATTCACAGAATCACAGAATCGTAGCATCACAGAATGTCAGGGGTTGGAAGGGACCTTGAAAGATCATCTAGTCCAACCCCCTGCCAGAGCAGGACCACCTGGAGCAGGTCACACAGGAATGCGTCCAGGCAGGTTTTGAATGTCTCCAGAGAAGGAGACTCCACCACCTCTCCAGGCAGCCTGTTCCAGTGCTCTGACACCTTCATCGTCATCTGCCCTGGCAGAGGAGCCGTTATGTTCACTGGCACCTCATGTGATAGTAACCAGGTCTGGAGCACTCATGTGAGGGAAGTGTGCGGTGACGAACATGCATGTCCTGCTCCCACACCAGACCCTGCTGCAGCTGCGCGGAGGAGTCCCTGCCCAGCCTGGGGAGGTGAGGAAGGGGCTCAGAGCCCTGCCTCAGCATGCAGGGCCTTCCCCTCTAGTAAGCAGTTGCTCAGGTAAATTTCTCTGCAACAAAAGGCCACTTGGAGCTGAATTCAGCTCAGAAAGCTCTGCTTTAACCTCAGGAAATGCTGAGCAGCTCCAAAGGGTTTGAGCCCCTCTCCTGGGAAGTGCTGGACGGCCAGGTGGCTGGTGGAGCTCAGTGAAGTGTGAGTGGGACCCATGGCAGTGGAGGGGATAGTCTCCTCATGTCTGATGCTGGCTGAGCGGTGGTACAGGCTTCTTGCCATGCCTGGGGAGAGGATGCTGAGACAGCTGCACCTCGGGCCTGCTTTGACAGCTTTGTCCTCTGGACAAAGGCTTGGCTGAACTGGCAGTGGGATTTGACTAGCAAAGAAGACATCCTCTGTAGTCTCTAAGGGCTGTGGCTCGTCTGGCACCGCTCTGTGGGGAGGTAACCCGAAGCTCTTTGGGCTTGTGGATGCAGCACTCCAGAAAGCTGGGATGAATTTCTGCTTCATTCTTTGAAGGATGTTCTTGGCTGTCCCTGCAGAAAGCAGCGTGCGCCCCAGCATTGCTGGCTCTATGGGGAGAGTTTACAGTGAGCCCTCCGAGACAAGTGCGATGCTGAAAAATTTAGGCCTTGGCAGTGCTCGTCCCTGTTTCAAGCCAGAGCTGGCTGGGGTTGTGGGGAGCCTCTTGCAGAGCAGCTCATGGCTCTGCATGCATATTTGCTTTCCTGGTTTGTATTGTGCTATTGTTGGATGGAGGGTGCCCATGTGAGGAGGCTCATTATCTCTCAGAACAGCTAATAAGAAACAAATGAAGATTAACACTATGTTGGTAGAGATGAAACAGCACATTTCAGTCCGAGAGCGGCATCTCTGAGTCACAGTGCCAGGCATTTTGAGGAGCTGCCAGCTGATGAGAAAGAGGAGCTACTCATGGCTGTATCCGCTCCTGAATTTCAGACAACCACTGTGTGGATTTTATTTTTAAGCTGGTTTTTGGCTTGCTCCAATTTTCTCTCTTTAATCACGAACAGATGCACATAGGTCCTGTTTCTTGCAAACCTGTGTGGGAGAATGACTCATGCAGTAAAGGAAGGCTGGATCTGCAGACGCAAGCCTTGGGTGCATCTGTGTTCGGAAGTGCCAGACTGTGGGTCTCTGGGGTGTCTTGCTGGAGTATCTGAAAGGTGTCGTGTGCTCAGAATCAATAAAACAAGACCTGGAGTTGTGGGAACTGAGGCTTTTGTGGTTTGTTTTTGGTTTTTTTAATTGTCGTGCTCAATGAAAAAGTAATATATGCAAAAACTAGAAGAATAATCTCCCAAACAGAATTTCCTGATTCAGTAGAGACATCTCCAAAGGAAGCTGGAGATTACTCAAGTTTGGAGCGGGGCAGCACTGCCTGTCGGTCTCCATTGGTCTCCATCAGTCTCCTGGGGTGGGGAAGAAGCCTCTGCAGCCGAGGCTGTGAGTGCTGGCTGTGACCTACTGCCAGAGCAGCTGTGAGTTGAACTGCCAGCGAAGGTGCCAGGGGCAGCTCCTGTGCTTTGGAGTTGGAGCAGAAAGTTAATGAATACGAAGGTAATTTTGATCTTATTAAGAAAATTAGGTTCTTGACCTAGTGCATCCTTTCCCTCAGCTCCTCCCGTGGTTCCAGGCGGTGAGCGCACGGTTCCTGGCACTGGGGTGGGGACGGTGGTGGCTCTGCAGGCTCTCTGAGGGGCTGGCTGGCTTGCTGAGGGGAGCAGGGGTTGCTATGATACAGTTTGCTGTGGCAATGTCTGTGCTGTATGGAGCCAAAACCACCTCTACAAAAGGAGCATTCCTGGGCTGGGAGGGGGCAGATTCATCTGCAGTGTTTATGTAAAGCTGAGGACCTGCAGGGAGAGGATGTGTGTGGGAATGCAAGTGCTGGGGGCCCCTGTCTCGAGGGAGATACCCTGATGTGCATGGGGGAGAAGGCACGGTTTGGATGAAGGACCCAGCAAATCCAAGCATGCAGATGCACGCTGGATCTCACAGCCCATCCGGCACGCTTGCACCAGGCACGGGGCTGAAAACATGGTTCAAAGGGGAGCTCAGTGCTATTATGCTTGGTGCTGCCGTCGACAGCGGCCTTGTCCTCGGCGGGAACTGGGTCCCCTTGCTGCGCTGCAGGAGCGTGGGGGGGAGCGGGTCACTGGTGCCAGCTCTGCCAGTTGTGAACTGAAGCAGCTTGAGCCTGAAGCGAGGTGAGAAATCTCCATGCCTGGGACACAGGGTTGCCCTGGCTCACTCACCAGCCTGCATCCCCTGTCCCCAGAGCTGGGCAAGGCACTGCAGGGACTGGCTCCGTTCCACACAGGGAACATGACTTTCCCTCTAGGAAGAGGACTGGGCTCTGCCGAGATTGGGGTTTCTTCTGTGCTGGATCCCAGCTGCTTCTCTTCCCAGTGACTTTGCAGGAACAAAGACCCAGGCTGCGGCTTCGCTCACTGGTGGGAGCAGGGGGTGCAGGTGCCTTTGCTGCTGTGGGCTGGCGGCAGCGTGGCTCTCTGTAAGAGCTGGAGATACCTGTAGCCGATTTTGCTGCAAGCGAACCCAAATGCGTGTCGAACCCCAGGGTACCTGCCCCAGGCTCCATGACAGCAGTGGGTGCTGCGTGGGCCTGGCTGGGGTTGCGCTGGTTGGAGTATGCCGTGAGCTCTGTGCTGTGGAGGTCCCGGTGGTGGCTGCTGTTGGTGTCTTGCTGTGAGCTGGTGTCAAGGGGAGAGTGGGTGGCCAGTCTCTGGAGCTGGGCAGGGTTTGGGAAAACAGACCTCAGCCCTCAGCCTGCCCTGTGTGGGCTCTGGAGGAAGGAGTGGTCACGGCCAGGTCTGCTCTCCTGGCTGAGTCTTGCAGAGGGATCTGGGGTGTTTGCAAAGCGCCTGGTGTGCAGAGCTGTGCTGGAGGGGCTGAACCTCGCTCTGTGCTGTGCATCAGTTGTGAGCCCCGTGCAGACAAGAGCCAGGGTTGGAGCCCCTGCAGAGAATCAGCCTATTCTCCTCTCGCGCTTATCCCAGGCAGATTCCCATCCTCCCGGAAACATAAGCCACTGTCATCCATAATTCATCAGGTGCTGAACTTCATCAAGGAGCCACCTGACTGCCGGACTGGGTGCTCCACTCTCCTCCCAGGGTGGGAAAGCGCTGGGTCTCGGCATCCCCAGGGCCGGGGCAGGAAGCGTGTCCGGTCTCTTCGGCCTCAGGGTGGGCGATCCGTCTTTCCGAGGAGGCAGATTCAACAAGGACTCTGGTGTCTCTGCTTCCCCTTTTCATAAATAAACATCTGCTTCTCATCCCTCCAGGAAGTTTAAGCCCTTGTAAAGCCAAATATAAAAACGAAACAGTGTTTTTAAGTAGCAATGAGCTGATTGCTCCATTACTGTTCACTGAGGCATCTACAATTGCACACAGAATGCACTTGAAATAAAAACATTGCGGGACAGTGTCTGTAATGCCTGAAATTTGCATTGAAGGTGTGTGTGTGCGTGCACGTACATGTGTGTGGCAGAAGCTGTGCAGGATTCAGGCTGGGCTCTCTGCTTGCTCACTGACAAATCCTGCAGAATACAGAATCATCCCCTCCAATTTATAGCTTGTTCACCAAATCCTGTCACAACTTTTATGTACCAAAAAGAACACGTCTGACTTTTTCCAGCACAAATCCGGAGCAAAAGGCCATTGATTTTTCATCTGTGTGAAATTCTTACCATCTGTGTGAGCAAGCTCTCCTGTATAAAGATAGCAGGAGAGGATTAAAAAATAGCAGCAGCATTCCCTGTTTTGTCTCAGCCACACCTTTCCACCGTTAGTGGTATGGCAACTGCATGACAAGTAATAGGATAAATATGCAAGTGGTGGAGAGAGCCATGTGCTGCTCTACGGTATCAGCCCTTCCAAGCTCCCTTTTCTGCAGTGAGCCAGCACACCCTGGCAGCACAGCTCCACCGCCTCTTACATGCCTGATGCTTACTAGCACGGGAGAGGGATGCAAAACTTGCATTTATTTCCACTCTGCAAGGGGTAAATGTAGAAGCACAAGGACAAAACCTCTGACTTCCACACCTAAACAAAGGGACCACTAAATCCTCTGCAAACCAAACTCTGCTAAACCTAATGGTGTCTGGTCACTGGTCAAAAGCTTGGGTCAACATCCTTTATCTCTGAAAGAGCAGTTTGCATCATGTGGCAATGTCTCCAGTTCTTACTGGAATTAAAGATCTGTTTGTCTGGCAGAGAGGGCTGGGGGTCCCAGCCTGTCCATTCAGGTAATAAGCGGTCGCTGGGATGACACTTTCTGCTCACTGCTGTCCTCCTGCTCCTCTCTGCAGGCTCAGCATATTACGATAATGTCCGTCCCTTGGCCTACCCGGACTCGGACGCTGTGCTCATCTGCTTTGACATCAGCCGCCCGGAGACCCTGGACAGTGTGCTCAAGAAGGTGAGCTGGTGAGCTGGGTCCTCTGCAGCAGCATGTAGAGCTGCCCTGGGGTCTCTGCTCCCTGAGGCTGTCATCAGGGCTAAAAGCTCTGGCCCTGTGGGCAAGTCTTGGCTGGAGTTTGCATGCTTGTATGAGGATGGTCAGCTGCTGCTGATCCCTGCATGTTCTGTGGAGAAAGCAAGGTATTTCAAGTTGAAAGAAGCCCAGTGAATGGTGTAGCTCATGGTAGCTTGCAGCCTATGTGAGGGTCTGTGTGAATGCACACATACAAATATGGGGACAGAGAGAAATGTAGGATGTTTGTTCTGGTTTTTTTGGGAAGACCTTGGAGAGTGTTGTGCATGTCTCGTTAGCATAACCACCAGTGAGTGTGCTGTGGATTGCTTGCAGCAGTTGAGAAGGGGCCCCTGGTGCCTGTTTCCATGCAAGTAGAGAGCTCAGGTTTTTTGGCTGTCCCCTCAGTTCAGCATCTGCACAGTAAGAAAGACAGCAATTGGTTCCCCAGAGCTTGACAACGAGAATAATGGGCTGTGTGGCACTGAATTTCAAGCCCGTGAATGAAGAAAATGAGCTGGCACCATGCCACTGGACTGGATAGCATGCAGGGTCCTGAACACTGTCTGCCCTGGCAGAGCTAACCGGCCATGCTCTGCGTTAGCAGCTGAGAGTTTTCTACCTGCAGGTTAGCACCTTTCAGCAAAGCAGGTATTTCTAGCTGGCAGGTATGGCAGGTCCCAGAGAGCCCCACAGGGCTGGGGATCCGCTGTGGAGCACTGCTGGCTGGCTTCCCAGCAGGTCCCTGCCTGCCACACTCTGGGGGAATAGGTGGCACCCAGGGAGAGGTTCCCACGTGAGACTTTCCTCTGAGGTGGCATGAAGTCCAGCAACTCGGGATGCTGCTCAAGGGAGAGGGTAAATGACCTCCTGGCCACTCACATCCCTGGTCCTGGCCATACCCTGCTTCCTTCCATGAAATTCGGGGAGATGTGGTTTCAGTGAGCTCTCACTGCTGTTCAGCAAAGATGCAGAGAGCTCACTGGCGGCTGCATCCTGTCCCAGAGGCGAGTCTTGGCTGGCGTCTTGTTTGTGAAGCTCTCTGAGACACCGATGCGTGAAAAGCACTACAGAATAGTGAGTCCTGTAGCTGTTCTCCCCAGTGAGCCCCAGGCTGCCAGGGCTGGACTGGCCACTGTCTGAACAAGTCACATTGTACTGACTGCCCTCTTGGCCCCTCCACATTTTGCCTAATGTTGTGCTGAAGCAAGTGCCTCTTAGCTGCTGGGAGGGCTGAGAAGTGGGTCTGTGTCTCAGAAGTGTCCTGGTGAGGGGACAAAGACCCTTCAGATAACTTGGTCAATGACTCAGTGTTCATTTCTGATGCAGGTCCTGGGTACCAAGCGTGCGGGGTGGAGGGAGGCGTGTTTCATGTGGACTGAAAGAATTCACTGCTCAGCTTGGGAGTACACAGAATAATAATGCAAGCAAATCACTTGCACCTTAATGGGATGCAAACCCGTCAATAATTAGCTGGGGTTGGGATTTATATATGTCTCTGCACACGCTCCATGTGAGTCCGCACTGCCTAGTGCACAGTCTCCCCTGTGCATCCTCGCAGATGCTTTGAGTGCTGTTAGGCAATGTCTTTTTGATACGGTGACTTAAAATAAACCCTAAATCACAGGGGATTTCTTAAGTGCCTCTGAGTAGATGCCTTGTTTCCTTTGGTGCAGGCTTGCAGCCTATGGAGGTGAGGAGAATTCCTAAGACACCATGAAGCTGAAATGGGTTTTAGCTTTTGATATGAGGCGAATAAGGAAAATAATAACACTCCCTATTCAAGCCTCAGGCAAAAATGCTAATTCAGCAGAGGAAATCTTTATTATTGCTGCCCTTCTGATGCCTGGGCTGCCTGTACAGCATGTACAGTTGAAGGGAAGGAGCCATCTGAGAGAATGCAAACAAGCAGCTCTTCATTTCATACAAAGCAGGTTTTTGTGGGGTAGTGCATTCATTCTGACAAGTGTTGATGGCACAGCAAATGTTAGGCTCCCTGAGGTGTCAGTCCTGTGAGAAGAGGGTCACACCTCTCTCCATGGACCGGGGAGCCCTCTGTTGTTACGGACAGCCGTGACCTCTGCCTGGTAAGGACAGACCCTATAGCTTAATCCCTCCTAGGATTTTCATCCTTCAGGTAAATTAGGGTGCTTGAATTCCAGCTCCAAAAGAACTGCATCATCTTCCTTTTGCGGGTGTGTTAGCCCTTGATGCTGTGCGGCTGTCACACTGGAATTCTCCCAGAAGCTGTGCAGCCCGGCTCGGGACGTGTGTGAGTCCTGGTGGCACCAGGGAAGCGGGGTTCATGGAGAAGATATTTGAGCCCATCTCCTGGTGGCAAATAAGATTTTTTCTGTGTTTTGCAGTTGCTTTGGTCTGATGTTGGTTGAGTGAAACTTGGCTCATTTTTAGTACTTCCTTTCCCCACCAGGTTGCAGACACTGGGTTGTGGGCTTGATTTTCTTTCCCCCATCTAATTGCCATGGGTATATGCTTAACCATCAGTTGGCATAGCAGTAAATTGCTAATTCCAAGTGACGTCTTTAGCCAGGGGTAATCTCTCTCTATTTGTCATCTACCTCCTACACTAGATAAATAACCAGGGTGTTGACATGCTGATGGGGCTGTACAGGTCTCTCCTGGGGGAGGTCACAGGTGATGGTTTTATTTACTGCTGCGGACACTTAGCTGCACATTGGGCATTCATTTTTTGAGCTCTGAAAGGGACTGTTAGTGTGAAGGAGTGGATGTTTGCCCTGGTCTTCTCATTCCATTGCTTCAGTTCTTTATTTCCCTGACTGTAGCTATGCTCTGAATATCTTAATGTCTTTAACAAGTGGCTCCCAGTAATAAACAAATAAGTAGTGTGCTGTGCAAAGAGCTACCTGCTGACTGTGATTCAAAAGGTCCAGTGAGGTTGACCTTTGGGGTCCCAGATCTGTGCACCAGACTGTGTGGTCATTATTTTTCCACAGTCATACCCATGAGTAGTCTCCTGTGGCCTAGGGCAGGGGACTGCAGCTTAGATTTAACAGGTTTGCAGGGCACATCTGGAACGTAAAGTTATCTGAGAGGCACTCCGACCATTCCCGTCCTTGCCTGTGGCAGTCATTAAAGTGCCACAATGAGCTAATCAGTCTCTGAACAGCTGTGACCCCCATTTGGAAAAGCCACACACACCAGCGTGCACGGTCTTGGCCTCTGAAGTCTGCTTTCCAAACCCAGTCCCATTAAAGCTTTGTGTTATATTCAGAACACCGAAAGCTGTCTGTCCCTGAGTTTCCCATCCTCAGCACAGTCTCCAGAGCTGCGCCTGGCCTGCATCCTCACTGAGAGCCTCCGCTGACCGTGGTGACCACCGTTGCCCGTGCCTCTTACCCTCACCCTGAAATCTGGGCATGCAGGCTGCTGTGGGGCCAAAACCAGCCTCAGTGCTGGCGCCAGGTACCGCAGGTCCGAGGCAAGAGGCTTAAAAGCGGCGTTGCAGTGGCTACCAGTAGCGGTCCTGGTACCCTGACTGGTCCAGTTCCAGGTCCTGTGCAGAGACGAGCCACGCCAAGGTGGCTTGGCAGCGTGTGCTGATGGTCAGGAGGTGCTGGGGCCCCGGGCTGCTGCAGCCGTCATTCCTCTGTGGGAGAGGGAAGTGCCATTTGCTGGTGGGAGCAGGAGAAGCTATGGACCAGGCTCGTGGGCTCTGCCGTGGTGGTGAGGCGTGGAGGCATTTGGCTGGATGATGCCGTCCGGTAGGAACTGATGGCACGACTCTCCTGGCATGTCCTTCCCGCCAGCACTGGGGGATCCTGGACAGGGCTCTTGGTGTGGTTGGAAAGGGGCTGGGAGCAATAAGCTGAGACGCTGCGGTTGCCTCTGTTTTTTCCAACCCTGACCCTTTCGCAGGCTGCCTGCCGCCAAAATTAACTTGACATGGAGGTGCTGCTGAGCTTCTTGAAGTGTCTTGTACACCAGCAGCCCCTGAGCACCTTCTCCCTCTTGTCTCCTCTGCAGTGGCAAGGGGAAACTCAGGAGTTCTGCCCCAATGCGAAGATTGTGCTGGTCGGCTGCAAGCTGGACATGCGGACAGACTTAAACACGCTCCGGGAGCTTTCCAAGCAGCGCCTCATCCCTGTGACGCACGAGCAGGTGTGTTTCAGCATCCATCCCTGTAGGGCTGGGGTTGGTGAGGCAGGGACTTTGCTGCAGGACCTACTAATACAAGGAAGCTCAGCAGCAAATGACCCACTATGCCCTGGTTCTGGCCTGAAGCTGTTTTGCTCTTGGCTCATGCATGGACTCTGAGCTGCTCATGCTTACGGCACTCTTTTCCCCAGCTCTGGCAGACCTTGGCTTGTTCCTGATGCTCTGCTGAATGGCCTCCTGATTAGTAGCTGAAAGGTCTTTCCTCGTAGGTGGTGGAGATGCCCGATTTGACAAGTTGGACTGGCTAAAGGGCATGTTGTGCTTCTGCATCTCATAGTTCAGTGCAGCTCTTTCTGCTCTGAAGGGACTCTCCTCGGGTTCTGTGTTGGGGCAACACGGCAGGGGGGGAAAGCCACAGCTGGGGGGGTCTTAGGGTCTGCTGCCAGGCTGCTGCGGCCACCAGTTGACCCAGCAGTGTCTACAGGCTGGCCTGGAGACCCAGTCTCTGTAGCACAGTGCAGGGGTGGCTACGCTCTGGGTTGCTCTGTCACTGCCTCTGTGTTGTGCAGAGCGGGTCCCAGATGACTCTCCTGGTGAGAGGAGATGTCCAGGCCCTCAGCTGTGGGGGTGGCACTTCATTGGTGAGAGAGTGCAGGTGATTGAGGGTCCAGTGCCCGGTAGGCACTTGCACTTTATTTACAGAGGTGATGGGTAAACATTGTGAGGGAGCCGCTCCTGGCTATGCCAGGGTGCTCTGATAGGGCTGCCAGCACAGACAGGGCTGACAGTGGTGTGAAAGGATGCTGCTTGCAGCACACTGGTGTCTGAACCTTCTTCACTCTTCTCCCACTCTCTCTGGACCACAGGGCAGTGCGCTGGCACGGCAGATTGGAGCAGTGGCCTATGCAGAGTGCTCCTCCAAGGTCTCAGAGAACAGCGTACGGGATGTGTTTCATGTGACCACGCTTGCCTCGGTCAACAGGGTGCACAAGAACTTGAAGCGCAGCAACTCCAAACGAGGACTGAAGCGGGCATCACAGATGCCCGGTAGGACGGACTTACTGAGTGACACAGAGATCAGGAAAGACCGAGCCAAGAGCTGCTCCATCATGTGAAAAACAGGCTGTAAATAGTGTGTGTGTGTTGTCCATTTTGTACAGTAACTGGCAGAGACAAGGGCATGGTGCACAAGAACTTGAAGCGCAGCAACTCCAAACGAGGACTGAAGCGGGCATCACAGATGCCCGGTAGGACGGACTTACTGAGTGACACAGAGATCAGGAAAGACCGAGCCAAGAGCTGCTCCATCATGTGAAAAACAGGCTGTAAATAGTGTGTGTGTGTTGTCCATTTTGTACAGTAACTGGCAGAGACAAGGGCATGGTGCTGGCTGCAGGAGCCAGCCCGCCTCTCCAAAGCCTTTCTCTCGGTCTCTAGGGCTGAGCAAACTGGGGTGCACAAGTCGCCTCCCCACCATGGAGGCTTCTGGGTTGGCTGCTGCTGTGCGGATTGCTTGGGGTGAAGGAGCCACTGGGCAGAGGAATATTCAGGTGCTGGAAGGTCTGTGACTGGGTGAAACAAAGTAAGAGGGAGTGATCCTGCATGTGGGCCACCTCCTGTACCCATGGCCCAGCCTCTGCGCCTGTGTGCAGCCGTACAGCACACACAGCGTGGGGCGGTGGGCTGGAGGGTGGGAGGTGGGTGGAACTGCTCGCAGCAGAGTGCGGTCAGGAGGAGATGTTCTTCCAATCTTCCTTTAGAAGAGAAACCATGTTTGAGATGGTGCTGCCTTCAGCTATGCTAGACAGCAAGTCACCATGGAATGTGCAGGTCTGGGCCAGAGCTGGGAGGGAAGGCACCCTGGGAAGGAACCTTAACCCCTCGACACACCATGGTAGTCCACCTCCTGCAAAGAAAACAGATAGGTGGCTCTTCACATGGTATTTTAGATACTTGAACTCCATTTGAAATGCAGCAGAGTGGATCTGGATCCCAGGCAGAGGTCTATCCCAGTAGATGCATCCTGAGAATTGTGGTTCCCTTCAGCAAGTGAATGCCTCTCGGAGCTTGTGTCCCAGCTGCTGACAGCCTGGTTACTCATCAGACTGCTCCCTGCCACAGGCAGCTGCGTTTCTGAGGCACATAGCTTCCGAAAAAGCAGACTACAATAACTGTCCATATCCTGCTCTCCACCCATTTCCAGCTGCAGATTGTGCTGCATGGTGCTGTGTTTGTCTGGTACAGATAACCCAGAAGATATGTGTATCTGCACCCTGTTTCCACTGCGGCAGTGGGAGTGAAGGTGCTCCCTGCCCCTCTTGCCCTGCTGTACAGCCTTCTCCCAGCACCTCTCATTGCTTCTGCTGCTGCCCTCTCTAAATGCCTTTGACTACAGTGTTAGCCTTGACTTAATGTCACATAGACACTTTAAGGAAAAAAGAATTTGCTCCCTTGCCAGATCCAGCTGTGTCAGTGGGCTACAGAAAACAAATAAACATCATTGGAAAATGCATAGTGCTTGACTCTGTTTGTTTTTAATAGTCAAACTGGGCATCCTCTCAAAATGTCTTGCTGCCTAACTTCTGTTTATGTCCTAATGCATCTCTCTAGCTCTTGACATACACTCACGTGTACCCTTGAGTGGAAAATGCAGAGGACTTAGCTCCATGTATTCATTTTGGAGCTGAAACACCTGCCTTGAATAACCTCTCACTCCATCCTGAATCCTTAAACACTGTGGAGCATTTGCAGGTTGTCTGTGCCTGATCCACCAGTCTGAGCTGACACGAGCTGCCCTCATCCTCTCTACATCAATAGCTGCAAGTGAAGATTGCTTTTGACTTAGTATTTTGTGTCTGCTCTCCTGCCCAGGTCTTAGACTTCATGCATCGTGAAGGGTGTTTGGGGAACTGGGGCAGCTGAGTTCCCAGCACAAGAAAAGCTCAAGCAATGACTGAATGCTGTTGTGCTGGGTGCAGGTTGCGAGGCCGTGCTAATGCCCATCTGCGGTCTGGGAGGAAAGAAACTGAGCAAGGTGCTATGCCAGGAACAGCCTTCAGCATCACGATGCTTCTACCTTACTCTGCAGGTCCCTTTGCAAACATTAGTGAACAAAACCACAGCCCTGCTTGAACAGTAGCAATCTGTGGCTCACGAGTGTCGCTACCAAGTCCTCTTAACCTGCATGCATTTGTTCTCATCATCCTCGTGTAATAGAATCACTGTGTCTTCCTCCTTTCCACGTAAGCACAGCAGTATTTGGCAAGCACATCTACCTTTTTCTACCATCTAGCATCTTTCAGGCTTTTGAATTTGATCTGGCAGATCTACAAATGCAGGTTCTGGTCCACCAGTCAGTTTAAACTCCCAGAGGCTCTGTATGAACTTGTTAGCTCACGCTATAAGCAAACCTCTAGTAGTGGGTAGCACTTGTCAAACCTGAGCTGTGCCCAGTACAGGTGTGTGGAGGAATGGTGGCTACAGGAGGTGGCTGTAAGCCTCACTGGGACGTCAGGTGGGTGCCTGTTCCCGTCCAACTCCTGCAAAGAGGCCTGCAGACATGCAAGAAAACCAGCAAAGCCTGCAGAGGCACTGCAGGTGCCGGCTGTTCAACCAGAGTGGAGATAAGCAGGAGGGGCGATGGCTGAGGCGTGTGACAGACCAGACAGTTTGGCAGGAGAGAGAACACCCCACTTGCCTACACAGTTGGCTGGGAAGCAGCAGGACTGAAGCGCCAGGCAGCGGCTGCTTGCCCTCCCTGGCCAGGGACTGCAGCAGCACCACCCTCATCTCCCTCACTCTGGGAGGAGACACTGCTACTGACCGTGCTGTGCTGCCGTTTGCGCAGAGCTGGTCCTCAGCGGAGACAGGCTTGAGCCGCCTGGCAGCTCCCCGCAATGCTGTCCTGTTTTCTTGGGTCATTGGTGCAGAAAGGTGACTCAGCCCCAGTGGCCCTGCCTGTAGCTCTGCTGAGACCACAGCGATGCTTCCCTTGCTGCTGCTGGTGATCTTCTCTTTGTACACTGAATGTCCCAGGCTCTTGCTGCTCAAATGGCCCTCGGGGACGGATTGTCACAGTGTAAAGACATGTCCTAGCAGCAGCTCTGGAAGAACCAGTCAGAATTAACGGCAGTCAAAACCTCTCAAGAGACTAAGGCAAATGAAATCGCCTCCAAGACTATTTATCATGCAATATCTGAGCTGGATCCTTGGATGGGGTGAAGTAAAGGTTTTAAAGCCCATGGGGCTAAGCTCTTATATCCTCAGTTTCCACCCACAGGCTCCTCTCTTGCGGGCACGTGAACGTTTCTGCTGCTGCTTGTGGCCCAGGTACAGAACCCAGGGCAGCCGAAGGCATTTTAGGGTGCTGACCGCTAAGGAAGTCCTTTCCAGGATGGAGCATTGCAGTCCTGCTGTGTCAGTGCATTTACTACATCCACTTGCTTCTGCACGGTACCCAACATCTCTTTAAACACTTGGGGCACTTGCCATGTGCTGCTGGGAGCATCTTAATGTGGGACCAGGGCTTTCCTCATGCCTGCCTCAGAGGGGACAGCCTGACCCACTCCCAACTGAGAGACAAGAGTGGAGGGGCAGAAGGCTGTGACTGGCAGACCCAGAGAAGGCTACTACAGCCCAAGGATTCCCAGCGATGTGTGTGCTGGAAGCCACAAGAGAAGAGAAAGGTGCACCCTGCTCGGCGAGGGGAGCTGCCAAAAGGCACTGGAAAAGCTCAGGGCTCAGCCTGTCCCTCCAGAAAAAGCTAGCCACAGCGCAGGCTGCGAGGCGAAGGCTGCACCCGGAGGCGAGCGGTGCGCGGGGAACAGAGGCGCTCGGGCAGGTTTGTGGTGCCAGCGGGCCTGTCCAGCACATGCACAGCTGCCGTGTAGACCTGGATGCCACCAGCAGAGAGCCACAAGCACCAGAGCACTGCGGAAACGATCCACATGGTGACGAAAGCCCAGACAGACGTGTTTAATGGCCATAGCCCACACCGGGGCCGGGGGTCAAGGTTAACAGGCCCAGGACCAAATGCAAACTGACACTCACAAAGGGCTCCCTCAGCGTACTGGGAATGTGCAGAGATGTGGCTGGGTCACTGCTGACAAGCAAAGCTTTTTAGATCAAAAGCATAAGGCAGGAAAGAGCCTGACCTCTGTGAATCAGTGATGGGGCTGAGAGGGCAGAGGGCGGTGGGAGCCGGCAATAATCACAGCTTTCACACTGCAGCCTGCCTTTTCACAGCCACTGAGAAATGCAGAGAACGAAGGATGCTGATGGTCCTTTCGACCTAGCAGCAAGCAGCCAATACTTTGCTGCTACCTCTGCTGTTTATCTAGTGCCTATTTGCCCTCTAAGTGGGAGGGATCGTGGAGCAGAAGCGTGGAGCTGTAGAGGAGGCACAATCGGGCAAGAGAGCGTTTATACTGCATTTATCTGGGAGCCCGAGCCCTGTAACTCCTTCAGTGCTGCTGTTGTCTGCAGGCATCTGCTTTTAGAGCACTGCAAAGGTCGTATAGGCAAGTGCCTGAATATGTTAACCTGGACAGAGGGGATTAATCTTGCTGGTTGCCCACACAGCTCTTGACCCTGTGCTTTGCCTCATCTTGGACTGGGGAGAAGGGAGCAGCAGCCACCATGGCATGACTCGGCAGCAGCCTGAGCAGGAACAAATACAGGCTTACTTCCACACGTTGGAAGCGGTGGTGGGGCTCTGGCAGAGATGAGGATGTGTTGCCATCCCCTGTGAGCTGTGAGACAGACAAAGGGACAGCTTGATGCTTCCCAGGCTCTGTCCTGAGGGGCCACAGCTGAGAGAGCCGGGCTGTGTGCGGCAGCTTCCCCTCCCCAAAGCCTTTAACCACATCCATTGCCGCAGTGTTTGCGCAGCATGCCAGACTAAACCTCCCAAAGCACACCTTGTGGGGACGTGGGGGCCTCGGCATCACCTGGTGCAATTTACAGAGCTGTTTCTACCGTGTTGAACGCTGTGCCGGTGTGGGCATGCTGGCTTACAGCGCTGTCAAGACTGGAGAAAACAGAACAAATGTGTTGATCAAGACTTGCAGCTCAGAAGTAGTGGGCTGCATGGATAAGGTTCATTACAGTCAGGGGA